AATCGGCCTGAATAAACGGCGAGATTTTGTTTAATGTATCCAGGTGCTGTTTTGCTGTGTTGATTTTTGAATTATATTGTGATCGTCCTGAGGTAGTTAGCATTGTTTGTTTAACACTTTTTTGTCAACACTTGTCTCTTTATTTCTCTGTCCTTGGCGATCTTTTCGTTTTATTTGACACGTAGATTGCTGTTGTTAGGTATCGCCACGTCGATTAGTGTTGTTTGTTTCGTTAGTTTATTAACTGGTACGAGATCTGGTCTATTCTGTGCTACTGTTTCGTCTGTGAGTACAGTGCGGTCCTAATATAGCTTGAAGTTGTCATTTTCAAGCATATTCTCTGGAACGTAGCATACTCCAGTTTAATAGCTAATTCTTGATGGACGATTTTCCCTAATAAATCATGCCGTTTGTTGTATTCAGTTGCAGCAAATACCTAGCAGCCCTCAGTAAAATGTTGGATGGTTTCTTGGGTTTGAAATTCATATCGGTATTTATCGTTTTAGACTTGAGGGTTTTTGATGATATATTTTAGGTAGTTTTATGTTGGTTTAACCTGATCCTGAGTGACAAGTAATAAACCTCTTGTTTTATGGAACATTTATTATGATGTCAGCCAATAGTTCGACGCTATACTGTCGACATAGTCTTGACTGACTTCATTCATTAACTCATTCTTTGTCTGTTTCAATGAGTCTTGACTCTTTTTTCGTCCTTAGTAAGATGTTTATGCGCATTTTTGGTTCCCTCAGTTTAACCGGTGTTTTGTGGAATTAGTTCTTAAATTAGTAATCTGTTATTTTAATTGCTTACTTTATATCCATAAGTCCTCGACCTCCTAAATACCGCGGTAGTGTCGTTGTCTCTATTGCACTTTGATGATAGTGTTGTTATGCCTTTGTGAGATGTGTACTTTTCGCTGAAGATTTTCTATATCCGTTTTTGTCCATTTAACAATACCAAACGAGTAGCTTAGCTCGGAACATACGTAGGTATTTAGTGCTTTAAACAAATTCTTACTGGTAAAGTGTGAACGAAGCAGCTGTTTTACCTCTCGTATAAACTCAGTAGTTATTTCAGTTTTTATTACCTTATGGTCAATCTTTCTTGTTTGCTTTATTACTAAGGTTTGAGGGTATACAAGGCAACTATCTAACACGGTGATTAATTTAATCTTGCCCAAGTACTTTTGATTAATAGATCATCTTCAGGGGCATTTCGTCAGTTGTGGCCTATCCGACATAGTAGAATGTCATAAATGTAAAATTTGGACATAACAATACAAAATACAATGCACAAAGACAAACAAACACTTTAAAATTTTAAGGAGAAGCTACATGTTGTATAGAAGCCGGAGACAGAATGTGGTGTGTTCTGTCTCTTCATTCTGTCTCCGGCTTCTATACAACATGTAGCTTCTCCTTAAAATTTTAAACTATTTGTTTGTCTTTGTGTATTGTAGTTTGTATTGTTATGTCCAAATTTTACATTTATGACATTTTACTATGTCGGATAGGCCACAGCTGACGAAATGCCCTTGAAGATAATCTATTGATCGAAAGTACTTGGGCAAGATTAAATTAATCACCGTGTTCGATAGTTGCCTTGTATACCCTCAAAGTTTAATTATTCGAACATTCAACCTTATTTGGATTTATTACTAAGTATTTATACACATCATTTTTCAGCAGTCGTTTAATATTATTAAACAAATATGGAATATATTCTGAAAAATATTTATCAGAAACAGTTTATCAAAAAAATTCGTCCATGACTATGTAGACATTTATTGTATGAACTTTTTGGCTCTATTTTCCTAATTTGGCCGCTAGCCATTATAAGGGCTGAGACGAAGGGAAAGGGGTTAAGAAGTGCAATCCTCAAGTATCAGCACACCATATTATTGATTTAAAAAAAGGTCGAGGCATTTTCTCAAACAACAAACACTATTCGTTGTCTAACTGTCCTATAACGTTAATATCGTTATACACGAAGAAACCTTATTTGTGCAAACCCGAAACATCTTGCGGTGAGATTATAAATCGTCTAGTCACTAGACTCTAGTGCGACAAAGATATATTTTAAGTGAAAATGCCACGTTCCCCAAAGTTGAAAGAATTAAGGGTGAGTCATTATCTTGTTTGTTATCCTTCTGTACCTTTTGCCACCACTATAAATTACATTGTAGCAATTGTTTTCCCCAAGTAACTTGTGTGGTGATTGTAGTTTACATTAATAAAATTTTAAATTAGAAGATGTAATATTGAATGTGTGCTAATTTTATTTAATTAGTGTAACGTAAATGAATATTAAGACGTAGTTATGCAACTTTACTAAAAGTTGTACCGTGAGAGAAAGAGATAGTATTTTTATTGGTGATAATTAAACTAACATACCTACATAACAATATAAAATAACAGCTTTGGTATTCCCCAAAAATGGTGATTGATTTCTTATTGCGTATTAAAGCTATTAATTAATTACATTTTACAATAGGCAAAGAAAAACACAAACTTCTTTAGATTATATTTTTATTGTAATTTATTTGAAAATAATAGAAAAACCAAGTAAAAAATAAAGTCAAGTCTAACAATATTTCATAGCTTAAAAATAAAAAATAAACTGAACTAAAATAATTATTATGACAATACTCTCTCTTCAATCCTGAACCCCCAGGGGGAGTGTAGTGGTCGACGTGATGTCGTGTATTGTCCGTCTCCAGAGATCTCTGTCTCTGGTCATTTCTTTTAATTCATGCATAGGTCTTTTTCACATTCCTGTAATTTGATCTATCCATCTTGTTGGGGATCTTCCTCGTGATCTTCGGCCTTCTACCTTTCCTTGTTATTATGAGTCTTTCCATGTTTTCTGTTTTTGCTCTCATAACATGCCCAAAATATTTTAATTGTTGGAGATGGACTTTACTAGAAAGTCGTTGGCTAACTTTTAGCTCTCTTAAAATTGAATTATTTGTTCTACGGTCAGTCCAAGGAATTTGTAACATTCGTCTCCAACAGAACATTTCAGTGGCGTCTATCTTTCTTCTCTCCGATTATCTCAGAGTCCAAGATTCATATCCGTAGGTCAGTATTGTGAATATTAAGCAGTTGATCAACCTCATCTTTATCGCTCTTGAAATTTGACAGTCCTTCCATATTTTGGTCATTTTTGCTGTAGCAACTTTTGCTAGATCACATCTGCGTTTAACCTCTTCTTGTAATGACCCTGTGTTTGTGATTAATGATCCCAGATATAAGTATAAGCTCACAACCTCGAACCGGTCAATTGTGGTTATGTGTGGATGATTGTTGTGTAGTCTATCCACTATCATGATCTTTGTCTTTGATATGTTTAATTGCAGACCAAATATTTGACTTTCATGTTCGATCAGTCGTATAAGTTCCATCAGCTCCGCTTGACTATTTGCAAGAAGGGCTGTGTCATCTGCGAAACGTAGGTTGTTTAGTTTATGACCATTTATTATGCCCTCTTCCCATCCTTCAAGTGCTCTTCGCATAATATACTCCCCATATATGTTGAATAATCGTGGAGATAGTATACATCCTTGTCTGACACCTCGTTCTGGATGAAATTTGTTTGAAAGTGTGTCAAGTACTTTAACTGATCCAGTAGTGTGTTTATATAGTTCGATTATAAGCGTAATTAGATGTTGTGGTACGCCTACTTCTTTTAGTATTCGCCATAGGTGTCTCCACTTGACCCTGTCAAACGCTTTACGGTAATCTATAAAACAGATGTATAGTGGATGTTGAATTCCCTAGATTTCTCGATTATCTGTCTTATATTCAGCAGGTGTTTCGAGTGCCTCTACGTTTGGTAAATCCAGTTTGCTCTTGTGGAATTTCTCTTTGAAGGAATGTTTTCAGTCTCTCATTGATTATATGTAGCATTATCTTGCTGGCATGGGATATAAGAGAGATAGTTCTATAATTGTCGCATTTATGGAAGCTGCCTTTTTGATGTATGGTCGTTATTGTAGATTTTGTCCAGTCTTCAGGCCATTGGTTTGGAATGCCATATTTGGTTTACAGAGTAGATGAAGTAACTTTACGCCGGTTTTTCTGTGGCTTTAAGCATTTCTGCTGTTATCATATCTGGACCTGGTGCTTTGTTATATTTGAGCTTGTTGATAGCCTGTCTTACTTCATTTTCAAGTATATCAGGTTCTTCTTCCACCTCGTCAGAGATTTGGCTAACAAGCTCTTGGCGTTGATCATTTTATATAGGTCCCTGCAATACGATCTCCATGTCTCTGCTATGTCTTCTCTGTTTGTTTTCAGGGTTCCCGTGTTATCTTTAATGGCCCAAGTTCTGGCTCTGAAGTCTCTTGCCAGGTAGCGTATTTTTCTAAATAGATCTCTCGGCTGATTATTCTGATGACAATACTAGTGTAATGAAAAAATTAAGATGTTTTTGTTCAATTTCAATGTTAAAGTCTAGCGTTCCATTATAGCCATCAATGTCATCTTCAATTTCTTCATTAGATGATAAAAGATTTTACTATCATCGGAATCGGATCGGAACTAAATAAGGAAATGTTCCGATATCCTTAAGCTTTTCAGCTTGGTTTTCCTTCTAGCCAGAGATTTTTTCAACAAAGATGACATGAAAGGGGGCCTACCAACCTCGTTTTTGCAGATATATTTCAACAAATGCATTGTTGTAATTATTACTGACGTAAATAGACATTGGTTTATTATAATAATGCGGATTTGTTTAAATTTTAACCAATTTATCTTGGTGCTTGTGTCTTTTTTCTGTTGATAATACTTTTCAATCTCACTTGTAGACTTAAAGTCAACAGATTCCATTTTACTACGTTTAAAATATTTCGTCCTCTAGCATTCTTCATAACACTTATATAGTCTTCAGGTGTGTAAAGTCTTTAATGGAATTTTATGGCAGACTCAGTGTCACCGAATTGACTTTGGTTTGGCAGGAAATTGTGACAAGAGACTAAAAACCGTATATTTTGAAGGCTATGTTTGACTTCCAACACACTTTTCAGGAAGAACTATCTTGATATTTCTATTCTGGCCACCACATAAATCACTCCATAGTGTCAAATTGGTAACATCCTTGTCAACATTAGCCATAATATGTTTACGTAAACAAGATGAAACTTCCTGAGCGTCCCGACCAGCTTGTCCCTCTAACCAAACATAGAAAAAGTCTTGTACCTCCATTGTTGCCACTGTGGATTCCGCAATTGTATAACATCAGTTGTCTTTTGTAGAACATGATATTAGTTGGAATACGCGGCATAGGTAGAGTTCTCTTTAAGTCAAAAGTTAATGCCTCTGAGCTCTTGTTTTCTTTTGCAAACTTCAAATCATCTTTCATTAGAACTTAAGCTAAGTTTGCTAGTGCCACGTGCTCCTCATGATTTTCCTAAAGTTTGTGTTTTTCAGTACTATGTACCATAAATCTGTAGAGTAAGTGTATCACATTGATATGTGATGAAAAGATACTTGCAAATCTGTTTTGAGTGGTTCACGTCACAAATTAAAGTCCTGTATAAAAATATGTTTATACTTGTTAAAAGACACTGGATTGCTGTACTCATTTTTCTATAAATCATACATGTTCATTACCGTAATATCCGTTTGCAAGTACAAAGAATCTGTATTGTTTCGTCGATAATGACTTTTGTACTTGGAAATTTATTTATATGTTATATTACATCATTGTTTCGGGAATCAGAAATGTTATTATGTCCCCCTTTAATGCCCCTTTTGTCTAGAAAATAGTTAAAACGCATTTTTTTAAATTATAATATACTGAGATTTTTGGGACATATAACTAGAAGAAAAGAAGGCATGGAGCGAATCATAGTTGAAGGTAACGTAGAGGTAAAAGATCCGGAGGAAGATCTCCAGTACGGCGCGGCGATCGGACCAAATAAATGAGATGACTGGTTACCCATTCTCCGAAGCAAAACAACACGTACAGGAGAAAGATATTTGGACAGAAATAGTCAAACAAATTACATGACGCCACTACATCCTTATGGAGAAGAAACAATTGAGGAGGACTCATTGAGTCTATAATTTTAGTGGTTCCCCGTTGCTTTCTGAATCATTTCGCCGTTGACCTAATTTTTAATTCATTTGCCTTTAGGGCCAGTTTCCCAACCTTTCAGTAAATCGAGTCGGGCATTCTCTTATCTGACATCTGGGAGGCGCCCTCTTGGGGTTATAGGTTCCCTCGAGAGAACCAGTACCGCAAACCTTTAATTTTAAATGATGACTACACGATACGTAGACATCATTAGACAGGCATTTTGCTGGATAAATCACGCATTCGTGATTTTTTTCCATATCCGTTGTGAAAAAGTATCAGTGTATTAAAAGTGTTGCACCTCTTAAAAACTAAATATGACCCTATATTTTGCTAGTGTCAATTTCAATTTGTCACGTCAAAAACTGCATTTAAATGAAATTTGCGATATTATTACAAAACTTTTTTTTATTTAACATAAATAAAATAGACTAAATTTTAAACTAATAAGTTCTTAATTCAATACCGTTTTACTCATATTATTATATACTGATAGCCAAAATAAATGCAACACCTAAAAGGAAGAATATTGTTTTTAAGTAGTTATGGAAATATACATTATGATTTTCTTATTATTTGATTTGATCATTATAAACAAGTTTTTAACATTATTTCGGTCAAAATAATTAATAATGAGTGGCTCCTCTCATTGGTCGATTTAAAATGGTTTGAAGTTAGGGATTTAAAACCGCTGCAGTACTTCACCAATATATCGTCGAGCTATCAGAGTACCGTTAATAAGAACTAGAGGTGATCTGCTTCCCAAACATATACCAACCCATACAATAATGCTTGTTGTCTTGCTGTATGACGTTCAACAGTCAAGTGTATATTTCGTCTCTCATCTCGAAAATGTCTTACCCTTATGCACCCATCAGAGCTACCTAAGCAACAATTGATGCATCTATAAAGTAGACAAATTTCTACTAACTATTCCAGTTTTACCCAGCTCTGCACCATTCCAATCATCGAACATTATGCTGTGGTGTCAAAAGTACAGTGAAACCATTAAAAAAATTCGATTCTATCCAAAAATTCGAATTAAAAATATATCCACAAAAAACAAAGATGCCTACAAAAACACATACAAATGATAAAAATCAACAATAGTTGACCATTTGTATCGCTTGCAGATTTTTCGTTACTATTTTTGGCCGAATTTTGTCAACCGAAAAAAAAATGGGCCAACAAAATTAGGCCAGAATACCAATTAAAGCATTTGCAAGCTATAACAAATGGTCAATTATTGTCGATTTTTTATCATTTGCAGGTTTTCTCATTGGTATTTTTGGCCAAATCTTAGCTGAAACAATCGGCAGATAAAAAATTCTTAGTGAGAACGCATCATTAAAACAATAAAACATTTTGTCTCAAAAAATTTATTGAAAATAAGAATACATATTTGTTACAATAAATGAAAATAGACTAAATTTTTTCTAAAGAAATCCAAAAATTTTAGCTGCTTTTTAGAATTTAACGTCTCGGTAATGACAAACGATTCTAAGATGTTCAGTGAACTAAAAATAGAGTGACTTTTTTACTTTCAAAGTACCGTTTAAGTTGCGTAATACATGTATTTCTCCCGCAACTGATGATGCGTCGTCTTCACACTCTTTTGTTTTCATCATTGTTCTTAAGCACTTCAGCGATGATCTCTGTATCGGTTATTTCACCACATACTGCAACATCTTCATCCACGTTGACAAAATCTTCATAAGAGATGGCAGGATCAGAAATGATGTCCCCCCAGCAGTCAACTGAAAGCAGCTCTTCTATTAAATTGTCGTCTGTGTTCTCCTCCTTTTTTATGAAACCAGCTCTTTTGAAACAGTGTTTTGATCGTTTCGGGTTTTACTTGGTCCCAAGCTTTCTTACACATTCCAGATGCTAGTAGATCGTCTAACTTTATTTTAAGGGTGTCGCAATATTTCATCAATATGTTTTTCAATCAAAAAACGTCTGTAGAAATGTTTAAAATTGTTTGACAACCTGGTCCATAGGCTGGAGAACTGAAGTCATGTTAGTAGAAAAAAAAATAACTTTTACATTTTTCATCAGTGGGATAGTGGTGTGTGCCGTACAATTGTCAATAAGCAAAATAACTTTTCTTTTTTCTTTATGAACTTTTTGTCTAATTTTTTCAGCCAGTTCTCGAAAAGATCACTAGTCATCCAAGTTCTTGCGCTGCTCACATATTCCACTGGTTTTGACTTGACGTTCTTAAAACAACGCGGATTAGCCGACTTGCCAATCATTAGTAAGAGGCAGTCTTTCTGATCCGTCCATGTTTGCACCAATTAGGAGAGTTACTCTTTCTTTACTTAGTTTTCCCCCGTGACATTTTTCATTTTTAAATGCTAACGTTTTGTCAGGAGTGCATTTAAAAAAGAGACCCGTCTCGTCAACATTAAAGATATCTCTTTCATCTATACCCTGAATCATCTCTTCCAATTTTTTTTCCACTGGTTGGCTTCTTGCTGATTAACCGGCCCACTTTCTCCACAAATGGATTTAAAAGAAATTTTGTTGCGTTCTTTAAAGCCGTCAAGCCACCCTGTACTCGCCTTAAAATTGTTTTTTTCCCCATTTCAATAGCAAATTGTTCAGCTTTGCTTCTTATAAGGGGACCACTCACGGAATCTTCTTATCCCTAGCTTTTTTGAACCATTTTAATACACAACTGTCTAAATTTGGAGTTTCTGGCTCCCTTAACCTTTTTCGAACTTTACCGCACTCATTTTCACTGTTGAGAATTTTTTCTTTATTCTTCAAGTAGGTGGATAATGTGTTAGGAGGAATTCCAAAGTCCTGACAATCTCAGATTTTTTCTTCGTCCCCTTTTCTACTTCTCTAATTGCCGCTATTTTTTCCGATAACGTTAAAGTTTTGTATGTTTTCGTATTACTATGCGACGACATCTTTACTCAATACGAAGTGACTTGACGTGATTTCCGATTGCAATTGCAACGCCAACGCATCTCAGAATTGAGGTGACAGTTACGGGTACAATGTACAATGGCCTTGAAACAAGTGGCACGTTAGAACAGAAAAGAATACTACTTCTTTTAGCGGAAATTTCCAGCATGAAATTGGCATTTTTAACTTGTAGAAAAGTTCGACTTATCCAAAATATATTTCGAATTATCCACGACTTTTTCACATTACTTATAAAAGAAATGCTAGGGACCAGAATAAAAATTCGAAATAAAGAAGATTTCGAATAACGAAGTTCGAATTAAGCAGGTTCTACTGTAATACAAAAAGCGGACGATAAACTCTCAGTTCCATTCCAAGTAATCTTTGATTAACTATTCTTTATGAAACATACCCTTCTGTAGCTTCAACTAAATCATCTCTTACTGGCTGTACATTGTTCCGTCTATTTCTGAAAGCAAATCTAAGATGGCACAAATCACGATATGGCAATATTCTAGAACGTCCATATCCTCCACGACGCTGATAAGTCTCATTCTTGGACTACCTCCCCAAAACTCTTAACATCATTGATGCTGCAACTCTTTCATGCCTACAATGCGTCCCTTTTTCGAAGACGATTAAATGACGAAATGTTTGACGACTGCGAACTCTTCGCATTTTATATTTTTTGGGTAAATCAGAGATAACCAAAATGACCAAAAATTACAAATAAACTAAAGTTAAGCACACAGAAATAAACTTAATTTTATTTTTGTTTTTGCGAAAAAAAACTTTGTCACGTATATATTTTTAGATAAGACTTATAAAGAAATACTTTTGATTCAAGTATTCGTGGTCTTAGGTTTTTGAATGAAGCAGGAATGTTATTATAAATCTTGCTTTGTTTTAAAAAAAAACCCCATAGAAAGAAATCCAGAGTTCTTACCGCGAGGATCTGACTGGGATTCAATAAAACCTCTGATTGGGTGTGAAATGCAAGTTCTTGTTTTGTTAAAATAATCGTAATATCAATTAAATATGATAATAAAATTTTATTTCTTCCAACTTCATTATAATATATCTTATTGGATAAAGTAGGTAATATGACCGACTAAAGCACTGTCAATAGTTTTGTATTTTTTTCTAACCTTTTAAAAACTGAGCAATTGTTTAAATATTGTTCTTTTGAAGATTCATGTTTTTTGATACT